GGGACACACCTTGCGTGGGCCATGCCTCCAGTGGCCTGAGATGCCAACATAATGGGGGAGAAAAAAAAAAAAAAAGACTCCCCACGTCCCCTGGCTCAAACCCAGTACAAAAGTGTCTATTTACAATGAAGGCGTGGGGAGCCGAGGGGCGGGGCCGGAGCGGGGCGGGGTCGGGCCCTGCCGGGAGGCCACGCCCCCAGCCCCGCCTTTTAAAGGGCCAAAGCCAAACAGCAAAGGTAATTTCTAGAGGATCTCTACCCCTCCCCACCCAGGGCGGGGGGGGGGGCGGGTGTGTGGGTGGAGGGGTGGGGGTGAGGGGCAATGGGATGGGGGTGCGGGTGGGAGGCATGGGCGGTGGGAGGAGATGGAGGAGAGGTAAGTAACTGCCTCTCGCCTCCCTCCTCCCCTCCCCCTGCCGGACACACAGTTTTCCGTGGGATGAACACAGAAAGGGTTAATCAAAGAGTTCGATGAGCGAGTCTGACGGTCGAGTGGGGCGGGCTGGAGCAATGAGGCCGCAGATTCCGGTGGCCGGTGGTGGTGATGGAGTCACTTAGAAGATGAGTGGTTTGGCGGGTTTTAGGGGAGAGAGGGGAGGGTTGGTAAAGAAGGTGAGGGGAAGGGGTGGTTAGGCAGTCTCCCCACGTGAAATCTGGGAGACAAACGTCCTGGACTGGCTGAGAAGGGGTTAAAATAAACCAGCATCCTTGGCCACCACCAACCTGACCGTCTCTGTTTCCCTTCTTGCCACCCACAGGGCCTGAGCCCACCAGATGCCCGGCCTGGGCGTGCAGACTCCCGCCGAGCGAGCGCGCAGACCGGGGTCCTTAGGCCCCTTCGTACCCCAACTTGGGTATGGCGATCCCGTTCTCCCCTCCCCACGCCCCACCCCGTCCCCATCGTAACATCCAATTCAGACCGGACCCGGAGTGCAGGACGCGCACGCGCATGCGTGCGGGGAGGTGCGGGTCTGTGCAGCACGCGCTCAGCGAAGGCCTGCTAGGCTGACGCGCGCCACGTGCGCACCGCACCGCACCGCACCGCACCGCCCCGGCACCTGGAAGCGCCCCACATCGCCATCCTCATCGCCACTCTGGCTAACACTTTTGCAAACCCTCAAGTCTCTCACGACCTCCAACCCTCATTTTTGTTTTTGCTTTTTAAATACCAGTTATTCCATGCAAGGGATTCCTTCCTCATTTTCTAAAACAGTTGGCGGCGACCAATGAGAAACAAAGTTACGGTGGGATGGAGGTATTGGCCGGATATTTAAAAAAAAAAAGGGGGGGGGGAATATGTTGTAGGTGTTGGTGGTCCAGAGACAACTAGTACAGTCATGTTCCAAGTATAGGATCCCAACCATCTAGAAGTCAGTCGACTCTTGGGAAACTCCAATGAGATACCCTTATTCCCACCTACATCCAGGGCTTTAGGCAAAAAAATCACTGCCCTCTGATACCGGCCCAACTAATTATTGCAGTGAAGCCTCCTTGCCCAGGTAGAGATGGCAGGGATAGGGCAGAAGATGGCTGGGCAGGTTGGCTCAGAGTCCCCTCAGTCGGGGGATGAAGGGAGGTGAATTTTGGCACATTGAACCCTCTTGTTCTCATAAGTGCTTTGAGCTTCTCCCACTCCACTTGGTACCACCAGGAGAAGGGCTGAGCTTTTTCTCTTCCCCTCTCCCCAATTTCTATAGGTTTGCCCGGAAAGGGGACAAATGGGGCTTTCCCCGGCTGGTGGAATTTGTGGAAGGGGGGGGAATCGAAAAAAAGGTAAGGGGTTATCTGTGAAAAGGAGGCTTTTTTTTTTCCTTTTTTTCTTTTTCTTTTCTTATAAAGATTCTAAGAAAAACTCGGAGGGATGAGGAAGGGGGGGACCCAACTTAGCTCAGTATTCACAGACTTTCTCAGTGCACCTTAGGGGCACCCTCAAAGTGAGACAGCTCCCCTTCTTCCTCTCTATCTAAGGTCCTATCCCCCTAGATCGGCTCAGTTCCAAGGAAGTTTGGCACTTTTTTTTTTTTAAGTAGGGAAATGTGGGAGAGAAGAGTTGGATGTTGGGAGGAAGAAGACAGACAATGACAAAGAGACAGGGCAGAGAAAGGGGGGAGGGGTGACTGGGGAGGAGAAGAACAAAATAAAACAGAAAGCCACAGGGCGCCAAAGAGGAAGAGGGAAGGGACTAGAAGCTGAGGGGCAAATGAGAAGGAAGAGGGAAACAATTTAATGCAGCAAACACTTATTAAACACCTACTGGGTGTGCTGAAGGGCAAAGTAGAAGAAGCCTTTTCAGAGTCTTTGAGACCTGATTGGCTAGCAGGGGAGCGGGCAAGAGAGAGGCGATGGGTTGATTTTTTTTTTCAATTGTCCCATCCTTGAGACACATCTGTGTCCCCTCTGGACAAACTGCAGCACAAAAGATTGAGGTCAGATTGCAGAAAGGACTTTGAAGGAATGGTAGGGATGATGGTAGAGTAGTTTCCCAGGGCAAAAATGGGGAAAGGTTTGTGGTGAGTGAGCTAGCTCACTAAGCTAGCAAACTACCTTTCAGATAGCCCTGGCTGGTGGGGTAACAGGTCCCCAAGAAATGTGAATAAGGAGGAGACTGTCACACAGACCTCCTCGGGAACACTTTCTAGGAGGCCCAGCCTCCAGAGCTGTGTCTGTGTGACAGGAATTCTGGACCCAACAGACTGGGATCCAAGGAATGGACTTAGAGAAAGCAGGATGCCAAGCTGAGTATGCAAATGATATGCAAATGAGCTCCTTAAATCCCACCTCCCAGCTCTCAGACCTGATTTCCCCTCTCCTTGGCTCCTGGGGCCTGAGGCAAGCTGGAGGGAGATAGTCCAGCAGGATTCTGTAATACCACATGCAAGGGGAGATGCTATGAAACACTGTAAGGTGTCAGGAGAGGTGGAAAGGAGCAATAGCCCACCGAGACACCCCCACCTCCTACCCCAACAGCCCCCCCCAGCTGTGTAAGATATGTACAAGGTTATATCAAGAATTATTTTGGCACTCAGATCTCCATCTAGGCTCAGTCTGGAGATTGGGGTGGGGGCAGCAGCAATAAGAGTTGGGTGATGGAAATGGGGCCTGCCCCTCACCCTACAGATAACAGGCCCGAGTGGATAATTCAGTGCAAGGTACAAGGGCTATTGCTTTCTAGGGGTTTTCACATTTTGATTTGGGGGTGGCTCTCCAGCTAGAAGTTGGGGCCTCCCAAGCTTTAGGGTTAGGCGCTTTTCTTCCCTCCTTTTTTTTTTTTTTTTAAAGAAGAGATACAGGAGGCCAGATTTTCCCCAAAGCCATGGAGAAAAGGGTCCGGAAGACCTAGAAGGGAGACAATTGGGAGAGAGGGTGGGCATGGGCGCCCTTCCCCCAGAGATGCTGATGACACAACCAGGGCACTGAGTACCCTGCTTTGGGTTGGAGAAAGGGCGGGTGGTCTCACAGGGGAAGGGGGAGATGAAGGGTGAGGAGGTGGGTCTCGGCTATCCTAGTCTACATGGATGTAGGCCCAGACATCATCTTGGTGGACCCACAGTCCTTAGTGCTGACCACAGCCTTGGTTCCCAAGGGAGCCATTTTCGAACCTATCCTCAAGGCCACCTGGCTTGTCAAGACTCCATCAGAATATTCTCGTTCCTCAAGGTGACTATGCCAAAACATTTGGAGCCATCAGATACCACCAAAGTATGCCAGCTCACTGGGCATCACCAAGCCAAGCCACTGTAATCCAGCAGACCACATTCCAGCCCGAGAGAGCCTCCCAGGGCACACTTAACTCGAGACGGGCTCACACAGGCCTAACAGAGCCACACACACCAGGCTCCTCAAAGGCAATGACACAAGGCCACACAGACACAGGCATGCACATACACAGGCGGGTGGGGTGGGAACGGAGGGCAGCCTGTAACAATGGTTTCCACCAGCTCCAGCTCCCACCCCTGCCGGCCGGAGCCAGTTCACAGACTTGGCATGTTTGCATGGAGATGACCTTGACAGTTTGGGGTTTTTAACTTGGCATCCTTAGATAAGACCCAAATCCCACTTACTCGCTTCCTAGGAAAATTCCCAGGGCCACACCCACTCAAGAGGAGTGTGGGCGGAGAAGGGTAGGGACTGACCACTGTCCAATACCGGAAGTGCATGCTTCATTTTCCCCCCCATGACATCACAGGAGGTGACCTCAAGACTCCACAGGAAGTACATACCCCCTGGGTTCACTTCAGTGACTTTCAAGGAAGTACTCATCGAGACCCCACCGGAAGTGCTAGTCTCTCATTTTTTTTTTTTACAGGAAGTGGCCTCCAGGGAAGTAGCTCCTATGACATCATAAGGCGTGCCCTAAGCACCCCCCAAGAAAACTACTTGGTTCAGCGACATCACAACAGAGACCCCTCCCACACATTCTCACTACTCTAGCAAAAGCCACAGAAATGCCATAGCTCCTTGTTCTAGCCACTGTCACAAGAGTCCTGCTCGCAGGACTGGCCTGATCCCAGAGCTGGCCTCATTCCCAGGGGGCCTGTGTCCCTGCCCCCATTCAACAGAAGAGTGAACATTCCACCCAGACGGGGCTACTCCAGTGGAGGAGGGCAGGCGGAGGAGCTGAGGAAATCTGGGAACTCGGGGTCCCTGCTCCAAAGGCCCCCATTTCAGCTCAGACTCCTGGGCTACTTGGAGGGCTTGTCCCTTCCCAGGAATTTGGAACTGGAAGCAGAAAGGCAGGGGGTGGGGGGGAATGTTGTGTTTCGGGGAAGCCCCTCATTCCTGGTGACCCAGAGGTTCCCTCCCTTCCTCCCAAATACAAACTAAAACTTATACAGGGAGAAGGAAAAAAAAAGAAAAAAGAAAAATCGTTTTGGAGGTTGGGGGTGGAGGTGGGAGGAGGTGGAGAAGAGCAAAAGGAAGAAAAAAAAAAGAAGAAAAAAGAGTAAGTGGGAGGGGAGGAGAGAAAAAAAAAAGAGGGAAAGAAAGAGAAAATAACGCTTTGTTTTCTATTAAAATGAGCAAAATGCCATATATACAGATATCACACAGACCTGGGCCCTGGGTAGGAGGGTAAGGCCCAGCCAAAGCACAGGGAGGGAGGGAAGGAGGGAGGGAGGGAGGGGGCCAATTCAGAGCTGGGGAGGGGGCTTCTGAGCCCCTTCCCCCAACACCAACTCAAGCCTGCCTATGACTACCGGAGGGGGGAGGGGTGCAGTCAGACCTCCCCCAGCCCCCACCCCGGAGAGCGAGCAGGAGCACCCCAAGCTGAAGGAGCGGAGGAGGAAGAGGAGGAGGAGGAGGAAGAGCGAGAGGAGGAGGAGGAGAAGGAGGGAGGAGGTCCAGGAGGAGGAGGCGCAGGGGGGAGGATGGGGCGGAGGCGCGCGCGCCCCCTCCGCCCCAGGCCTCATCCCACTTTCTGGGGGTTGGAGGCGCGCACCCCCTGCTCGTAGGTGACCCGCTGGCTGATGAGGTATTGAGCGGCTTGTGTGGCCGCGGGGCTGCCCGTGATGGTGACCCTCCGGTTCCGCGTGCCGGGGAGGAACTCGCCCTTCTTGGAGATCTGGATGCGGGCGCCCGTCAGCTCCTGGTACTCCACCAGCGTCTTGCCCCCCTTGCCCAGGATGGCGCCCACTAGGTTCTCGGGGACGGCGATCTCCACCAGCTCCTTGGCGCTCTCGGCCGCCAGCTTCTCCGCCGTCAGGAAGCCCCCGGCGGCCGCCCCGGCGGCGGCGGCGGCGGCGGCGGCCGCGGCCACCAGCGGGCCGCCCCCCGCGCCCGCCGCGGCCCCGGGCCCCGCGCCGCCCAGGTAGCCGTTGGCGGCGGCGGCCAGCGCGAAGGAGCCGAGCGCGCCGGGCGGCGGCGGCGGCGGCGGCGGCGGCGGCGGGGCGGCGCCCGCGGCCGGCCCCGCCCCGGCCTCGCCCGCGTACGACGCCAGCAGGTTGGCGGCGGCGGCGGCGGCGGGGTTGGCGCCCGCGGCCACGGCGGCCAGCACGCCCGACGCGGCGGCCGAGTTGAGCCCCAGCCCCAGCGAGTTGGTGTTGTAGCCGTAGCTGGCCAGCGTGTTGAGCGCCGTGCTGATGGCCAGCAGGTCGGTGCCCGAGAAGGCGGGCAGCGCGGCGGGGAAGGCGCCCACGCCCGCCAGCCCCGCGGGGCCCAGCAGCCCCGACGCCGCGGCGGCCGAGGCGGCGGCGGCGGCCGCGGCGGGCAGCACGTCGGCGGGGCTGGCGTAGGGCGAGCCGGTGGGGTTGGAGTTGGCCACGGGCCCCGCCACGTTGGCGTAGCTGATGTTGAGGCAGCTGCTGCTCTGGGGGTCTTCCTGTACCTTCTGCACGATGGCGCTCACGGCCTTGTGCACCTGCTCGGGCTCGCCGCTGACCGTCACCACGCGCTCCTGCAGGTTGATGCCCTCCGGCTTCTGCGACAGCTGCACCCACGCGCCGGACTGCTCCATCACCGCCTTCACCGTGGCGCCGCCCTTGCCGATGATCAGCCCGGCTGTGCTGTTGGGGACGATCAGCTTGGCCTGCGGAGGGAGGGGGGAGGGCATCAATGTGTGTGTGTGTGGGGGGGGAGATAGAGAGAGGTGGGGTTGGCGCCCGAGGTGATGGGGAGGCTCTTGGAGGGGGGCCGTACACAACCCAAGACCAGGCCCTCGGATAGGCCTTAATGATTGTGGAGGAAGATAGATAGATATATCTACAGTACAGATGTTTTTAGAATAAAAAGAAAAATTTTGAATCTCTACAAAAGCAGCCTGATTGGCAACTAATTTAAAAATAAAATCTGACCTTGCAGCAAAAAAAAAAAAAAAAAAAAGCTAGCTAGCTAGATAGACCAACGGACCTATGCAGGGCACCGGGTGGCTCACGCCTGTAATCCCGGCTACTCAGGAGGCTGAGATCTGAGGATCTCGGTTCCAAGGCAGGAAAGTCTGCAAGTCTGCTAGAAATGGAGCTGTGGCTCAAGTAGTAGACCACTAGGCTTGAATCCAAAAGCTCAGGAATAGTGCTCAGGCCCTGAGTTCAAGCCCCAGTAGCAACACACACACACACAGTAATTGAATTATACAGGGCACTGGTGGCACTAGCCTGTAATCCCAAGCACTCAAGAGGCTGAGATCTGAGGATCACAGTTCCAAGCTAGCTCAGGATGGGAAAGACCAGGAGACTCATCTCCAATTAACCAATGAAAAGCCATAAATTGGAACTGTGGCTCAAGTGGTAAATGCCAACCTTAAGTGAAAAAGCCACAGGACAGTGTCCAGTATATCACTGTACTCACTAATGCTTTTCAAACTCCACTAAACATCTACTATTTTTTTTTTTTTTTTGGTCAATTGTGGGGCTTGAACTCCGGGCCTGAGCGCTGTCCCTCATCTCTTCAGCTCAAGGCTAGTGCTCTACCACTTGAGCCACAGCACCACTTCCGGTTTTCTGAGTGGTTCATTGGAGGTAAGAGTCTCACAGACTTTTCCTTCCCTGGGCTGGCTTTGAACAGTGATCCTCAGATCTCAGCCTCCTGAGTAGTTAGGATTACAGGCATCAGCCACCAGCTCCTGGCTTTGAATCTCACTTTACAAATCAAAGGCCTGGAGAAATCAAGTCACTTGCTTAAGGTCACCCAGGTAGGAACTAACAACAAAGCAGGATGTAATTCGACATCCCATTCCAGAGCCTGAGCCTGTAACTGTGATCTCCTCTGATTCTTTCGAGTCCTCGAGTAATATAAGGCAGAGGCTAAAAGCCTGGTTCTGTGCAGGAGTTCCTGTGGATTAGAGGCAGGCTGTGGAAAGCGACTCAGACACAGATGGCTCTGACCCCATTTCCCTGCAACATACACACACTCTGGATGAACCCTGAGTCCCTTGAGGCCACCATCAAAGTGGAGGGAAGAGGCAACGTCCTCGCTTTCCTGTGAGCTGTGTGTAAACCGTGCCCTGCTCCTGAGACAGGAATTTGGGAGAGGCCGGCCTGGCAGGGAGGGAGGAGCCGGGCCGCTTCAGCACCAAGGACAGCGGCTATGTTCCAGGCCCCACAGGCCCCCTCTGTCTTTTTCGGGGAGCGAGATCTACCCATCCCCGGCCACGTTCTTCCAGGCCTGTCGGCCCACCGTGTCCCTCACGAGCTTAGCGGAACTGAGGTTCTCATCTCTGGGCCCCCAAATGCCAGAGTCTACCTACCGAGACCCTCTCTCTGCGCGCTCAGCATCGAGCGCAGCCGTTTCCGCGCACTCCTTCCCCCTCCCACGACCGGGGAAAGGACCACATCACACATAGGGGCGTTGCCTAGGGACCACCTGCCCCGAGCGAGCGTGTGCGCGCCGTCGTCATGGCAACCGAGGAGGCCCGGGATGCGATTGGCTCGCTCCTTGCCACACCCCTAATGCTACCGCTTCCCCGGGTAACTAAGGCAACCAACAAGATGCTGCCCTCCTCCCCATCCCTCCCTCACTAAGAGAGGGCTGAGTAGGATTGCCCGCCCCCTCTCTCTAATGAAATACTATCTCTACCCTCCCAAAGAGACCGTAATTATGGAGGAGACCACGTATAAATCTTGGAGAGGCTGAGCTGTCGCTGAAGCCACTTCCGGTTGCGTACAGGAAGTGGGAAGCAGGTTGTTCAGAAAGACAATGGGATGAGGTGGAGGGGAGATGAGGAACTTAGGGAATCTCAAGAAACCTGGATGGATCAAGATCTGGACCTGGATGTTCACTATCTGGATGAGACCCACTCCAGGTGGACTGAGTTCTTTCCAGACTGACTGCCTTTTCTTTGGGGGGGGGGGTGTCTAAGATTGGGACTCAAGCTTGCTATCTATCTGGTGCTTGCTTTGACTCACTGTCTGATCGTCTACTACCTGAACCATGCCTCCAACACCTGACTTCCTAATAATAATTAGCAATAAAATCATAACCAGTGGCAGGTATTGGGTGATAGACTCATCATCCCACCACCGAACCCCCATGCAGGCATTTGGGAGGTGAGAGCCCCTCCTGAACCTCACAAGCATTAACAGCAACCCACTCTGTGGCCCAGCTGACCTGCTTGGCTCTGTCGGGATTCATCGTGGTTTGGGGTTGAAGGATGTTGACCACCTCAGGCTTGGTCATTGCTTGAGGGATTTCTCGGACTTTCTCGGCAATAAAGCTGTGCACAGCGTTCAAGGCCTCTGCTGTGCCCTGTACTAGGCACACCCGCTCTGTGGTTCCTGTTGAGCAAGGGAGAGAGAGGGTACACTCATCAGACAGGAATGGGGACATTCCTGAGAGATAAACCCCATTTGGCAGAAGGGGAAACTGAGGCAGGAGTGGACTTGGCTGTTTCGTGGCTGAATGGTTGGTTTGGTCAAGCTGCTGTGAGTGCCCAGGCAGTGATGGGAAGAGAACTGAGAGAATGAATGAATGAGTGAATGAATGAATGGAATCCCTGTTTTATAATCTGCACTTTATCTCCCTCCTCTAAAACAGCCCTAGGGCACAAGAGAATGATGCTTAAGTGCTTAGCGGTGCCCACAGCAGTAATGATTGGGACGACCGGCCTCAGCTGCCTCTTCCTAGTTCTTTCGGGCTCCCCCTAGTTGCTTTGGCAACCATTCACTCACCGTGGCCCTCCCTTCTTCTAGAAGCTGAGTGCTCAGGCCTGTAACGGTTGCCACAGTAACTGGAACCCCCTTATCGGTCTGGCTGGCCTGGTCCTCAGCCCACCCCCAAGGGGGATGAGGGATGAGGCTGGGTTGCCATAGTAACTCCTCAAAGCCTGCAGCGTTGGCCTCTGGGCTTTTGGAGAGGATGGGGAAGGAGTGGGGGATGGGAGAGAGGCTGAGTGCCTGCCTGGACCCACCAGATGGAAGAAGGGCTGAGAGGTGGGGAGAGGGCAGGGGTGTAGGTAGACAGGGGAGAGCAGGACAGGTCAAAGGCAATTCTTGGAGGATGGAGATAGACTGAGAAAGGAGAGGGGGCTTGAGCTGCCTTTGCTCCAGACCCTTCAGGGTCTTAGCTACAGATCTGACCTCTGTGTGTGTGTGTGTTTGTGTGTGTGTGTGTGTGTGTGTGTGTGTGTGTGTGTGTGTGTGTGTCTTGGCAGGACTAGCTAGCTAGATTGCCTTAATTTGTATTTCCTGCGTAAGAGAAAAAGACAAAAAAGTAACAGCTATGAGACTCATGTTTCCTTCAGGGAGGTTTGTGGGGAGGACTGGTGTCCTGGTGACTTTGTTGTATATACTATTTGCAAGGCTGAGCTGGCTGTGAGTTTGAGAGCATGAAAGACTCAAGAAGTAGAGAGGCTGTAGAAGGACATGCAGTTCACTGGCAGTGTGCATGCCGTGTGTGTGTGTATGCGTGTGCACACTTGTGAACAAGGGGCGTTGTCACACCCCTCTGAGGATCCACACTCAATGATGTACAAAGCAGAGATGATAGCTGTGAGACTAGATGGCAGGTTGTGTCAGTGAATGTGTCACAACAAGACAAAGATGACTGTATTGTGATGGCCTGAGTGCGCAGGTTGAGTGTCTGGGTGAGCCTGCGTGTGTGTTCTGTGTGTTCAGTGTAAGTGTACCATCCACCTCCAGAGGGATGCTCTCTGGGTGTGTAAAACATCCTGAATGTGTGCCAACCTTAATGACGGTGTGTCTGGGACACTGGGCAGGGTCATTATCCAGTGAGTGTGGCACACCAGATCTGCAATGTGTCTGGGGGTGGGGGTCCCTGTCTGGGCGCCACCTAAGTAGAGTTGAGGGCCCCCATGTCAGCTTGGACAAGATCCTCACTTTTACACCTCCTCCCCATCTCTGAACAATGGCTAGGTCAGTGCCAAGGGTGAGTCAGCCAGCAGGCTGCCTCTGTCTGGGTGTAAATAGGAAAGGGTGTGGGTCAGGCTGTGGAATGAGGCAGGGTGAGGGAGGGGGGAGTCCTCTCCCCTCCAGGAGATCTGCCTGAAGTGGCCAGGTTCGTCATCTCTGTAGGGACTTGGGACAATCCACTCTTTGTAGTTCTTAACCTGGCAGTCACGGGGGGGGGGGGGGGGGGGGGGGGGGGGGGGGGGAAGGGTGTTTCATTGGGAAGGGAAGTTAAACTAGGGGAACATATCCCATATTAACAGCTGGTGGTTATGTAATGTCAAGCACCAGGCACCACACAGAGCCCTTCAGCCGGGCCCTTCCTGTGTGCTGTGTCTAGTCATGGTAACTAAGAAGTGAGTACCTTAGTCCCCCAATTTACTAAAGATCCAGAAGGTCCCAGTGTTGTCCCAGTTCACTCAGTTAACAGAGAATGATCCGATTTTTGAATCCATCTGTGTGACTTTCAGAGTATGTGCACTTTTTTTTTTCTCTACTTTTTTTTGGTTGGTCATGGGGCTTGGACACTGTCTCTGAGCCTCTTTGTGCTCAATGCTAGCCCTCTACCACTTGAGCCACAGTGCCACTTCTGGCTTTTTGAGTGGTTTATTGAAGATAAGAGTTTCACAGGGAATTTTCTCTCCAGGCTGGCTTTGAACCTCGATCCTCAGATCTCAGCCTCCTGAGTAACTAAGATTACAGGTGTGAGCCACCAATACCCAGTGTTATTTTTTTTTTTCTTGGTTGTGGGGCTTGGGCGCTGTCCCTCAGCTCTTCAGCTCAAGGCAAGCGCTCTACAGCTTGAGCCACAGTGCCACTTCTGGTTTTCTAGTGGTTTTTATTGGAGATAAGAGTCTCACTGACTTTCATGCCCGGGCTGGCTTTGAACCATGATCCTCAGATCTCAGCCTCCTGAGTGGCTAGGATTACAGGCGTGAGCCACTGGCACCCCGGCATTTTTTTTTAAGTTATATTTCAGATAGGATCTCAAATTTTTGCCTGGGGTCAGCCTCCTATTTGTGCCTCCCAATAGCTGGATTACAGGTGGGGATTACCATGTCTGGCTTTTTTTTTTTTTTGTCCATCATGGGGCTTGAACTCTGGGCCTGGGCGCTGTCCCTGAGCTCTTCAGCTCAAGGCTAGCACTCTACCACTAGAGTCACAGCACTACTTCCAGCTTTTTCTGGAAGTAGTGGTGCTGAGGAATTGAACTCAGGGCCTCATGTATGCAAGACAAGCGCTCTACTGAGCCACCTTCGCTGCCCCACCATGTCTGGTTTTATTATCATGTCTCATCTCTTTCTCTTTTCTTCTTCTTCTTCTTCTTTTTTTTTTTGAGTCAAGCTCCCACCCCTCCAGCACTTTCAATTTCAGAAGTTTATTTTTTTGTGCTGGTCCTGGGGCTTGAACTCAGGGCCTCAGTGCTGTCTCTGAGCTTTAATACTCAAGCACAGCTCTATTCTCAGCTTTTTGATGCTTAACTGGAGGTTAGAGCCTCATGGACTTTCCTGCCTGGGCTGGCTTTGAACCATAATCTTCAGATCTTAGCCTCTTGAGTAGCTAAGATTACAGATGTGAGGCACTGGTGCCTGGCTAGGGCTTCATTTTTCATGCAGGGCCTTTTGTTAACTTTGCCTTGGTCCCAATCAAGCCCAGGAAAAGTTAGCAAGGGAAAGAGGTGAGTTGCCAGGCATGGCGGTGCATGCCTATATTCCCAGCCAATGGGAAGGCAACAACAGGCTACTTCTCAGCCTTGGGCTGTGGGACTTCTTGCTGAGAGCCTTTTTCACGTACTGCTGGGGCATCTGCCTATGGCAGCCATTCCTGACCTCCCTGAGGTGAATTTCCTCCATCCTTTGTACTTTGCTGTTCGAAACCTGGCCATTCCAGGTCAGCATTGTTATGGGTTCCATCTCCCTGACTAGGGTGTGAGATCAAATACAGCAAAGCAGGGCTACCTCAGTCACTAGGTCCTCCGTTATGTTTTAGCCCATGCTTAGAACACCCAACACACTTTGAAAACATGTTGACTGAGTGAAAGAGCGTCCAGCTATGTGCAGTGGTTGACACTTGTAATCCAGGCTATTCAGGAGGTGGAGCCTGGGAAGACACTAACTTAGGGTTAAGTGTGGCAAAGTGAGTGAGACCCCATCTCAACCAACAAACCAGTCATGATGGCATGCACCTGGCGTTCCAGCTATATAGGAGGGAGGATCAAGGTGCAAGGCTGGCCCTGGGCAAAAATGCAAGATCCTATTTGGAAAAAGAGTAAAAGAAACAAAAGAGGCTTGCGGGTGTGTGTGTGTGTGTGTGTGTGTGTGTGTGTGTGTGTGTGTGTGTGTGTGTGTGTGTGTGTGTGGACACCTGTCTAGCCAGTAAGAGGCCCCAAGTGCCACTGAACAGAAAGAAAGAAAAAAAAAAAGAGAGGAGGCAGGCAGGCAGGAAGGAAGGGAGGGAAGAAGGGAGGGAGGGAAAGAGGAAGAGGCCAGGCAGGAATGGGGAGAAATGTATCCTGGGGTCCTGTGTTTCCAGGAACCTCCTCCAAAGGCCAGAACAAGGGGGCAGGGAGCGGGCTCCTGCATCTCTGTATTAGGAGTTGGCCCCTGCTGAATGAATCTGGAAGTTCTCTAATGGGGAGTGGGGTGGGGTGTGTGTTGGGGGGTGTTGGTCACTTCTCCAGGGCCCTGTGTCTCAGGCTGGGGAGAGATGGTGGCTCTCACAACGCATCTCTAGAATAAATAAGGACAGCCAGTCCCATCCTCAGCAGCCTGGCCTGTGGGGCGGGCCACTGGGTTGGGAAGGGGATGACACATCTCACGGCACAGAATGTGATCTGGGGACCAGGAGCCAAGTGTCCTCAGATGAGCGTCCCAGGCAGAGGACTTGTCCACCTCGTGTGGACCAAGGGGTGCGGGGAAACTGGGCCAGGGCGGAAGAGAGAGGGAGGAGGTGTCCAGTGGGTCACTGGATTTTTCTGGAAACTCTGCCAGAGCTGCTTAGTGAGATGGGAGGGGGGCAGAGAGAGAGAGAGAGAGAGAGAGAGAGAGAAATGTGTCCTGACCCTGAGCTCCATCTCTGATGTTTGACCTAAAAAAAACTGCAAGGGGAGATTAAGGATGAACTAGAATCATCTGAGGATGGAAGATGCAGTTCACCAGGCCTTTCCTGGATTTCTGGGTGTTTTGTGGGGGGACAGGGGAGGAGGGAAAGACACTGGGAGGAGGGTGTGTAAAGGGGCCTGGGGGGGCGTGGTTAGAGCAGAGCAGCCTTGAACACTGTGTAGTTAAAGAAGAGATGGAGCTTGAGCAGAGGCAGACAAGAGACTAGGTTTACAGGGAGTGGGAAAACTAGCTATGAGAAGCTGAGAAAAGAAGCTGGGGGACTGGACAGCTGGAACGGGGGGGCAGGGGGCGCGGGGAGCACTGCAGGAAAAAGCCAGAAGGCAGATGGTTGGCCCTCAGAGAAAGAGCTTACTAGCCACTGTGAAGTGGCTAAGTGGATGGCAGAACAGAGTTCTGAAAGGAAGAACAAGGTGAGAGTCAGGGGAGGAAAGGAAATGAGGAGGGAGGCTGGGAGATCAGGAAAGGATGGACTGACAGAGGAGGTCAGACAGGACAGACTGGAGGAGGTTATCTAAATAGAAGCAGAAAGTGAGCTGAAGGGGACAGAGATGGGGAGGGAGAAACAAAGGGTGGGAAATGAAGAAACAGAAGGAATGGGGGGGCCAGGGGAGTCTCATCAAGAACGACCCAAGTCGGGCTCCAGTGGCTCTCGCCTATAATCCCTAGCTACTCAGGAGGCTGAGATCTGAGGATCATGGATCAAAGCCAGCCACGGCAGGAAAGTCCATGAGATTCTTATCTCCAACTAATCAGAAAAGCCTAGAAAGTGGAGCTGTGGCTCAAATTGGTAGAGCACTAGCCTGGAGCAAAATAGCTCAGGGACAGAGCCAAGACCCATGAATGACAAAAAAAAAGAAAGAAAGAAAAAAGAGGCTGGGAAGGTGGCTTGGTGGTAGAGCGCTTACCTTACATGCATAAGGCCATGGGTTTGATTCCTCAGCACCACATAAGCAGAAAAAGCCAGAAGTGGTGCTGTGGCTCAAGTGGTAGAGCGCTCGCCTTGAGCTGAAGAGCTGAGGGACAGCGCCCAGGCCCAGAGTTCAGGCCCCACAACCGGACCCAAAAAAAGAAAAAGAGCTGAGGGACAGCGTCCAGGCCCAGAGTTCAGGCTCCATAACTTACAAGAAAAGAAAAGGAAAAAAAGTAAGAAAAAGGCTTGAGGGTATGATTGTTCTCAAGTGTGAGGTCCTGGGTATCACCAAAAATTAAAAAAAAAAAAAAAATCAGACTGAGAGACATCTCGACTGACACAGAGCAAATGAGGTGACAGAGATCCAAAGGAAAGAGCGTGGGGTATGTGTCACGTGGATGGCTGGCCTCCCCAGGCCCCGAGGGACACTCTGACACCTGCCTCCCCTTCCATCGTGGCTCCTCTAACTGACCTGAGGTGGCAGGTGTGTGGGAAGGGACACATCTGCTAGCCTCATGCAAATGAGCTATGAATATGCATCAGTCCCATTGTCTGGCCCTGCCCCCAGCCCCATCTGCTCAGGCCAGGCCCCCTGGGCTGGGGGCAGCTCTGTCCCCTTAGGGGGGAGGGGAGGTTCCTTCCCTCCATTCTCAGGCAGCCTCTTCCTCCTCAGGCAGGGTCCAGATGTGAGGGCAGGAGGAAGAGGGGGAGGCCGGGGGCGGAGACCCAGGCTGGCGCTCACCAGGGTAGAAATCTTTGGACTTGGACAATTTGATAGTGGCTCCCGTCTCCTTCTGCAGCTGCACAATCGTCTGGCCGCCTTTGCCGATGATGGAGCCCGCCGCGTAGCTGGGGATGAGCACCTTCAGGAAGTATTCGCCTTCCTCTGTAGGACATGCAGGGCAGAGGGGAGTCAGTAAGGCACGGGGCAGCTCCGGGGAAGGGTGTGGCAGGGGCAGGCAGATAGGACTATGAAAATTGCTATCAGCAAGAGAATATGATTTTCCTCCATTCATTCATTCATTCAACAAACAGCAAGGAGCCCCCTCTATGCATTTGGAGAAACAGCCAGGACTGAAATAGTAAAAGCTACCTGATTTTGTGAGTAGATAAGGCAAATAAGACCAAAAGAACTTCAGCTTACATAGCTCTGATTTTCTAGAGAGTGAGAGAGAGTCTATTCCATGTCAGATGCAAGTACAAACTAACAAAACACCAAGAGACAGGGAAGGGAGCAAGGGAACATAGACAATCGCAGATGCAGGGGCCAGGGAAACTCTTATAAAATAATGTAACATAAGGCTGGGCACTGGTGGCTCATGCCTGTAATCCTGGCTATTCAAGAGGCTGATGTCTAAGGACTATGGTTCGAAGGGCAGGAAAGTCCATGAGACTTACCTCCAATTCATCACTAACAAAGCCGGAAGTGGAGCTGTGGCTCAAGTGGTAGAGGCCACTGAACCAGGCTTTGAGTTCAAGCCCCAAGACTGGTACAAAAAACAAACAAACAGGGGCTGGGAAGGTGGCTCAGTGATAGAGCGCTTGCCTTGCATGCATGAGGCCCTGGGTTCGATTCCTCAGCACCACATAAGCAAAAAAGAAAAAAGCCGAAAGTGGCACTGTGGCTCAAGTAGTAGAGTGCTAGCCTTGAGCTGAAGAGCTGAGGGACAGCGCCCAGGCCCAGAGTTCAAGCCCCACGACCAGACACAAAAAACAAACAAAAATCCCCACATCATGGACTTCTTGACCCACAACCCTACTTCCAGCTTTTTGCTGGTGAATTGGAGATAAGGCTTTTCTGCCCCAGCTGGCTTCAAATCTTGACCCTTAGACCTCAGTCTTCTGAGTAGCTGGGATTACAGGCATGAGCCATAGGCGACACCAGGCTAAACACACATCATTATTCATCATCTATAGCATCTCATCACGTCAGACTTTGCAAATACCAGTTCTTATTACTTTTATACTGGTTCTGTGAGGGAGGCACTATTAAAATCTCATCCACAAACAAACAAACTTAACAAAACAGAAATCTCTGGCTCCCCACCCATGCCCTCAGACTCCTGAGTAGCTAAGATTGCAGGTATAAACCACCAGTGCCTGGCTTTTATTTTGTTTTTGAGACAGAATCTAACTTTGGGCTAGGCTGCTCTTGAACTTAAGATCCTCCTGCCTCAGTGTCCCAAGCAGCTAAGATTACAAGTATGAGCTTCAACCTTTTCTATTAAGCAAAGGAGAACTATTTTCATCGTCTCACATGAAACCCAATGCACAGAGCAAGTAAAATATTGCTGTTCTAGGGGCCATGGCTGTGACTCCATGGCAGTGTATTTGCTCCACATGCTCCAGACTCTGGGTTCAACTCCCAGTATGTGGCAAAAAAGAAAACAGAACAGCTCCAAGAAAGGGTGCTCAGCCGGTGGCTCAGGCCTGTAATCCTAGCTACTCAGGAGGCTGAGATCTGAGGATCACGGTTCAAAGCCAGCCTGGGCAGGAAAGTCCATGAGAAAAACCCAAGTGGCACTGTGGCTCAAGTGGTAGAGCGCTCGCTTTGAGCTGAAGAGCTGAGGGACAGCGCCCAGGCCCAGAGTTCAAGCCCCACGACTGACCAGAAAAAAAAAAAAAAGGGTGCTCACTGACAATCCCGTCCATCTTAGTATGAAGGTTTTCCAGTGAGATGATGCACACCTGTAATTCCAGCTACTTAGGAGACTAAGGAGTTCAAGCCTAGGTTACATAGCAAGACCCTGTCTCAGAACAACATACAAAAAAAAAAAAAAACAAACCAGGAATATGGATGTAGCTCAGTGGCAGAGTGCTTGCCTTGCATAATACAAGGCCCTGGGTTCAAACCTCATTACCAAATGAATAAACAAAGCTAGGTTTATGCGTTTCATCCTAGCTTCTCAGGAAGTAGAGATCTGAAGATCCTGGTTTGAAGCCAGTCTAGGCAGCCAAATCCAAGAGACTTTCATCTCTCTAATGTACCACCATAAAGCTAGAAGCAGAACTGGCTCAAATGGTAGAGCATCAACCTTGAATAAAAAAGCTAAGTGATGCTGAGTGCCAGTGGCTCACACCTGTAATCCTAGCTACTTAGGAGGCTGAGATCTGAGGATCATGATTTGAAGCCAGCCTGGGCAGGAAAGACCATGAGACTTTTATCTCCACTGAACTACCCCTAAACCAGAAGTGGCGCCGTGGCTCAAAGTGTTAGAACACTAGCCTTAATTAAATGAGCTCAGTGCCCAGGTCCTGAGTTCAAGCCTCACAACCAACAACAAAAACAAAAACAATAGTCAGGCATTGGTGGCTCACACCTGTAATCCCAGTACTCAGAAGGCTGAGATCTGAGGATCACAGCCAGCCTGGGCAGGAAGTCCGTGAGACTCTTATCTCCAATAAACCACTGGAAAACTGGAAGTGGCGCTGTGGCTCAAGCAGTAGAGCACTTGCTTTGAGCTGAAGAGCTCAGGGACAGTGCCCAAGCCCAGAGTTCAAGCCCCACGACCTAAAAAAAAAAAGCCAACTGATTGAGCTGGAGGCAAGGCTCAGTTGGTAGAGTACCAGCCATTAAGCGATGAACATCAGATATCAAGTTCAAGTCCCAGTTTCCCAAGAAAAAAGGAAAGAAAAAAATCCAAGTAAGAGTACGATGCTGAGTTCAAGCCCAAGTACCAGCACAAAATAGATCAACAAATAAATAAGGAGGTTCAGGGTTCCCTGGTAAGTTTAAGATGGAGTATGGCCGAGAGGGGCTGGTGTGGCCTGGTTCGCATGGGGAAGGGTCCCAAATAAAGGGTTTTCCCCCTGAACCCAAGGGCAATCCTCTTAAAATGGCCTAATGGGATCCTTTAAGCCTATTAGGTAATTACGCCAGCCCCCCTGTGCCTTCCCATTGGTCCTCTCACACTGGGATCCCTCCAGGATTGGCCTACATCCCTTTTGCCTTCACCTGTCAGCCTCTCCCACAGACACAGGGGCTCTGGGAGGCTGGGAAAGGCTGGAAGGAATTCTCAGGAATCCTGAGGACACCATTTTGTCTCTCCCCACTTTCACCTTCACTCCCGGTGAACCCTTGAGAATAGAAGTACTCGGTGTCATCTCTGAAATAGGGGTAGTGGGGGACAACTCCCCATTCTCTGCCTCCGCTCTCCTATATGCCCTCAATCAGGAACTGGGAGCCTGAATGCTGTCCCTTCAGCGATACCACTTGAGCCACAGCGCCACTTCTGGCTTTTTCTGTTTATGTGGTGCTGAGGAATCGAACCCAGGGCCTCATGCATACAAGGCAAGCATTCTACCATTGAGCCACCTTCCCAGCCTTGAGTTTTGCTTTTTACCTGGGCTGCCCTAGACCTTGATCCTCTTATTTAGACTTCGTTGCTGAGATGAAAGGTAAGAACCACTATACCTAGCTTTTTATTGGTTCAGATGGGGTCTCATGATGTTTTTTAAAAAATTGGGGGGGGGGGGGGCTGGGAAGGTGTCTCAGTGGTAGTGGTAGAGTGCTTGCCTTGTATGCATGTGGCTCTGCGTTCGATTCCTCAGCACCACATTAAAAAAACTGGAAGTGGTTCTGTGGCTCAAGTGGTAGAGCACTAGCCTTGAGCTGAAGAGCTGAGGGACAGCGCCCAGGCTTACTTAGATCAATCTGCACAACTGTCAAAAAAAAAATAATTGGCCTATGCTGCCATCAAACAGATCCTCAAAATCTCAGCTCCTAAGTAGTTAGCATTATGCCTAGCAACTCAGGAGGCTGAGATCTGAAGATCGCAGTTCAAAGCCAGCATGGGCAGGAAAATTCTGAGACTCTTATCTCCAATTAACCACCAGAAAACCAGAAGTAGCACTGTGGCTCAAAGTGGTGGAGCACTTGCCTTGAGCTGAATAGCTAAAGGACAGTGCCAAGGCCCCAAGTTCAAATCCCATGACCAATAACAACAACAAAATTATTAATAATAATAATAAGTAAAAATAAAGAGAAAGTTTGAAAACAGTATTATTGAAGTTTGAAAGACTTGGTTAAATTTTTTCCCCTACTACACATTAACATGTCAAAATACATTAAGAAAAAAATTTCTGGGGACTGGGAAGGTGGCTCAGTGGTAGAGCACTTGCCTTGCATGCCTGAGGCCCTGGGTTCAATTCCTCAGCACCACATAAGCAAAAAGAAAGAAGCCAGAAGTGGCGCTGTGGCTCAAGTGGTAGAGCGCTAGCCTTGAGCTGAAGAGCTGAGGGACAGAGCCCAGACCCAGAGTTCAGGTCCCACGACCGGACCCAAAAAAAAAAAAAGAAAAGAAAAAAAGTTTTGTTGCCATACCGCCTCAACCCCTCTTTTTATTTCCAGTCCCTGAGCTTGAACTCAGGGCCTGGGCCTGAGCCTCTGTGCTCAAGGCTAGTACTCTCCTACTTGAGCCACAGCACTACTTCCAGCCTTTTCTGTTTATGTGGTATTAAGGAATCGAACCCAGAGCTTCAAGCATGCTAGGCAAGCACTCTACCACTGAGCCACCTTCCCAGCCTCCCAACCTCTCTTGTAGGTGCTTGGTAATCCCTATCTCAGACTAGGCACTGTAGAAAGACAGAATTCTTAGCTCAGACAAAGTGGTTTATATTTGTAATCCCATAGACTTGGGAGGCAGAGGCAGGGAGGATCTGGGTTTGAGGCTAGCCTAGGGGAAAAAGTTATCGGGATCAAGAAGCTAGGTGTGGCAGGTTACACTATGATGCCAGCTACACAGGAGGCTACAGGGTAGCAAAAATGTGAGACTGTATATGAAAAATAACCCAAATCAGAAATGACTGGGTAAATGACTCAAGTGGTAAAGTACCTGCTTAGAAAATGCAAGGCTCTAAGCTCAAAATCCCCAGTATCACCAGAAC